GTGGAAAATAAGTTTTGCACTTGGAAAATACAACAGTAATAACCACATGGTAAAATTGCAGATGCATGTGATAAATTAGATTTATCATCAGTCTTATACCATTCACACCTGAAATTTGCCCATAAATCCACCTCATTTGAGGCTTATTTAATGTTTCTTCTAAAGGTGCCCTGGAGCTAGAGATTCAATTTACCTAAGAACTGACAGGGGTAAAGAAAGAAAAACATGTTTTCTTCCTTCCCTACAAAATGTGCAACTTCCTTGTCAAATATACGCTAGCTTGAGTCCTGAGATCGGTACATTTCCATCCATGATCAGTGCATATTTTGACCTTTGATATTTTGCAAACATGAAGCAATAAGAAGCTAGGAAGGGGATCTGGAGAAAGAGAAGATTCCCCAAATATCTAATATAATATACACCACTATCAGTTAATTCTACTAGAATCTGTATACATATTTATGATTGAAGTATATATTTATACTGTTTCTACTTCAGGTAAATTTCATACATGTACATTTAATATTTGTGCATTTAAAATTTTCCCAGTTTGCAAGGTCTTACTTGTTTTTCACATATTTTATCTTTCCAAGAGGTGGTAAAGCTTTGCTTTTAACAGGTGCCTCTCAGTCTGCCAATCTAAACACAATTATCCTTGGGTTTCCAAGTCTGTGCTGGTAAAACACTAAAACTACTTTGAAATACTACATGAATGAAAATACAGATGGATAGGAGAACAACATGAATGGAGTAATAAACAATAAAGGGGTTTGGTTGCTGACCATACTAGTAACAAATGGAACTAAGGAAAATGAACAAATCATTCCTCACGTTACCCCACTGGAAATACAGGGAATATATCCTAATCCTAAGAAATATCCTAATCCTAAGAAATCATAATTTCTTTGCAGTCCCATTTTTCCATACTTCTAGAGCATATCTGCCACGCTTTGAATGAAAAGACATTAGATGCTTGGACTAGATGATCGTCATGGTTCCTTTCCTATCGCAGCCATTCTGTGATCCTGTGTTACAATATCACTGCCAAAAAAATGGGGCAATTTTCAAAAAGGCACCATACAGCAGGTAAACCTGGAATTCCCCACCAAAAGGTACAGGAAAATGCTGAAGACACACATTAGGCTTTAGCTTACACATCACTGAGGAAAGCTGCCACCCTTGCTGTCCAGCGGTAAGTCCATGGACAGTGTACATGAACATTTCTTAGTCTATGCCAGGCTCACTAGCCAAGTGCTTGAAAGAAGCAGGCTAACGTGAGACAACACCATTTGGTTCCCATGAGCTGCCATCCTTCCTCCAGGGCTCTGAAGACCCCAGAATTTAAACAGCTGGTCCTTTCCTTTTCTTTTTTGATGCTTTATCATAGCAGCAAGGCAGCAGATTGCTTATATTCCATTTTTCTCGGACTCTTTCTAAAGTGTGAATGAGCATGTGTGTATGTTGAAGTGATAACATAAGGCTAAACCACATTTCTAGTAAATATTACTTTAAAGTATCCTGGAATGTAAAAGTGCACTTGTGCAAAACTAGCTGCCCAAAAAGGGAAGTAGAGCTGTAAACCATCCTGCCTGCAAGTTAAGTATGTCAGCAGGAGAGTCACTGTATAAGGGCATGTTTACAGGTCACTTAAGCCTGCATCTATGCTAAAACTCATGCCCCTAAAACACAGAACATGCATGCACTCAACTGCAACAACCTCTCCTGTCAGCCTTTACATTGTGTCACAAAAGCAGCAGAGACCTTGTGGTCAGAAGAGCACCAGATTCCAGGGTGAATTTAAACCTTTTCCTCTCTATAACGTGAGTAGAGGCAAGGAGAGCAAGGAGTGACCTCCCACCTGTGACCAAGTGTGTGAGCTCTGTGAACTGCATCACTGAAGCCACGCTTCAGGGTGGATTTAAGCCAGTCTCTCATTTTGACTCACTCCAGCAGTGACAGCCAAGACATGGTCCAAACTCGGTTCCTGACCTCCCCTCGGCTGAGATGCAGCGGACCACGCAAGCCATTTTTACCTGTTTCAGAACAAAATCACGTGGGCAAAGAAGCTGCTTATAGGGCTCTGCTTCTGAACGCACAGCAAGGGCAGTCAGACCCAGGAAGACCTGCGACAGCCACATAAGCCTGTGCATTGCCAGCAGTAATGACATGTGTGTAATTATCAGGAAGGCTGATGCTATGGGTAAAGCCATAAGCAGAAGGAAATGAAAAATTAAGGTACAAACCAGCTGTTTCTCTTTCATCCACAGGCACAATTTAGTGATGCCAGGGTGTTGTGTAATGCCTGCAATGCTGACAGAGATGGAGGGTGGACTGAGCTGGGCAACAGGGCTGATGGCATCCCTGAATTGGGTGACACTGCTGTATAACCTCTGGCAAATAATTTAACTCTCCCAGGCTTTGGGCCCCCTTTTGTTCAAGCCTCTCTTTATTAAATCTGTAAGACAGGAACAGTGTCATTAGACTTGGTCATTACCCTGATTTATTGGGTCCCTAATTTTGGCTAGAACTGCTACTGTAATGCAGAGAAGTGAAACAAAAATGTTAAGTTTTGGAAGTCGTGACTTTTGGGGACATAAATGCGCACTGTGCATTCCCCTGAAGAGCTGGGATCTTGCAGTGACACAAGACTTACTGCTGCACATCTTTCCTTCAGGCAAGTCTGATTTTGGAAGTGAAGTTACATTATTGGGAGTGGGGAGGGAATAATTCTGCGATAAACAAAGACAGCCACCAGAAATGGTAAAGCTTTTGGTCAGATTCTTGGGTGAAATACACATAAAAGCAAATGGAGGCAGTGCAGAGGTGCAGTATGACCCTGCAACACTACAGGCATTGGGAAAATAGTGAGGCTCAAGAACAAGGAATATGTTTGGGGTTGGGGGAGAATAAATCACTGAACTGGAATCTAAAATGCTAGGCTTTTCTGTTCAACATACCACTCCAGCATCCCCAGCCTCCATCAGATGCCCTGCATGCCATATGAATTCAACCATATGTTTGTAGCTAAGCTATGAAATTCATTTGTCAAGTCCTGGGAGTTTTTGGCAAGTTGTCCTGTACTGTATGTGTGGTCTGCTACGCTAAAACAGGCACGCAGAACATTGCAGTGGTTATGTCTATAGGATCCAGAGGCAACACAGCCGATGATTTCCCTGCTCTGACTTTTAGTGCTGTGTAATAATGAATGGAGATAGAGAGGACTCAAGTCGAAGATGTTTCGGCACAGTTGTGAGGCTTAAAGCCTGCTAAAGGCTGCTGGAATGAGCTATAAACATGTATCTGAGCTCCATGCCAACTGTGTAAACTCAGAAGCTGCCTGCTTCATTCAGGGACGCTATACCCACCAGAGAGTCCGGAGCCTGTTAGACTAGAGGCAAGTCAGTGGCTGGCAAGAGTCACATTTTCCTTGTGAAAGGGGATGTGGTGCTAGGACAACACAGGGGCGGATGATGGATAGGAAATGATTTCTCGGGTGTTTTGAAAGGAAACACATAATCCAGAGTTATGGGCCCTCATTAATCAGGCAGAGGAGTTCCCAAGGTGCCAAATCTCGCAAGAGCAGCCGGAGGACTTGGAGTCATTTCTAAGTTCTTCCTAACTGAACCCTTGGCGTCACATTTGCCCAAATTCTAGATCTCCGTTCAAGTACCACCACCTTGGCCTATGAACAGTTGCCTAGTGGCTCCGATTCAAGCTGATTCACAGCAAAAGATAAATCTTTCTGCTCCTAAAAGAAAGCAAAAAGCTGCTGAGAAATTCTTTAACTCCTCTGCCTTGTGCAATCTTGGGCCAGTAGCTTTTGCAGCAAGAAGAGGTCAGTCCTATTTCTTCACACCCTGAACTCACATCCCTCTTCCCTGCTGTGTAGGTTGCTACAGGCAGTCCTGCCACCGTATTTTTTAATACACCAAGCAGTGCAGAAAGGAGGCAAAACTGTCAGAAAGAGGCTTCATTAAAGTTTTTCATATATAGCATGAAGATGTCATTTTTACAGAGATTATCAGGCTGCACAACAGGAAAAAGCCAGGATCTCTCTCAGCCTAGCAAGATCACCTCATCTTCAGAAGGAACTTCAGCTCATGAAAGTCAGCAGGTACCATCTAACCTTTTCCGTGGTGAAAATAAGATCCATGAAGCTACTGTCACATGGAGAAGTGCTGTGATTTGCCCCCCAGTGACAATGCAAAGCCAACTCTAAGGCTGCATGATGACACCTCTAGTCCCCGAGCAACCTAGCTGCCCCTTAAGTTGGGTCCTGGAGACTCTTTTCAGTTCTTCTAAGATGTATAAACTCAAATAGCCCAAACCTTGACAGCCTGCACATTTGGGGCTAGATTGAGTCCTCATGAATGCCAAACTATCTCCATTTCAGCTGAGGATAGCAGAAGACGCAGGCACTCAGCACTCCTCGTCCTCCAATCCCAACTGTATATCCAACCTCCAGGCTCCAGAGGATGAGTCAAACTCCTCTGTGAAAGCAACATCCTGGCAAAACCAGCCGCAGCTTCTCCCAGGTAATTTGGAAGATATCCATGTTTCAAATCTGCCCATTAAACCAGCCAGCAAATCATAATAGTGCCATCCAGGAAGAATTTATCCATAACACGTAAAATGCATTTCCCCACTCTGGCATGGGGAAAGCAGCAGATGAGATAAAAAGAAAGTTTTACAAGGTACATGCCACACTCCAGGCTATGCTCTGATAGAGCAACACCTCTGAGCAGAAATCCACTTATTTACAGACGGCTTCTAGTGCTATACTGTAGCAGTTGTTTCCCACCTCCCGCTCATGTTATATTTACATGCTAAATCTCAAACACCCACTGATCCAGGCTGAGGTCATGAGATGCTCTGGGGAGGAACAACATCCGTTTCCCTGCGCCTGTCCCAGCACAGTGAGGGGGACAGGCAGCGTCAGGCTGGCCCTTCACTGGGAACACCTCAGCATCATCCCTGCACGTTTGGACCCAGGTACTCACCTAAGAGCTGCACTCCGCGGGTGAGTCCGTAGACGTCAATCAAAGCCCAGAGGGGCTCTGCCGTCCTCACCCCGCTGAAGAAGAGCATCGCAGCTGAGTCGTTCACCCGATAGAAAACGCGTCCCTTCTTGTCCACCCAGAAGGCTATGATGTTTCCCTCATTCGCAAACTCTTCCGGCAGAGCCTTGGCCCAAAAACCACTTTGGGAAACCAAGTCAGGGCACGCGTACTTCGGCAGAGTGTCAGGGTTAATCCTTGATGGATCCTTGGAAGTAAACCCGAGTCGAAGAGCCCCACTCCAGCAACACTGCTTTTTAGTAATCTGCAAAGATAACAGCAGCAATAACAGCATTTGGCACTTGAACATCTACTTATACACTAGAGTCTCTATGCCATCAAGCACTGTCAGCCACCACGCAGATGACCCCACTAGATTTAGGAAACATTCTACCCACCAAACACTGCTGTAGTTTTTTCAGCTGCAAGTAGCAATGCTGCACATTTAGGATACAATGCACATATTAAAAAAAAAAAAAAAATTAAATAAAATCTATGCAGAGAGGTGAAATGCAATTACAGCTGCATGATGACTCATTTCTATTTCTAGGGTAATTCCTTCTGGCCTAAGAATCATCCTCTCACAAATGTGCCAAAAATGGCCATTAAGAGCTTTTATCTCAGCACCTGCAGCAGCAGAGCTCTTCCCACGTGGTGCTTGGATGATGGGGTCTCTCATGACCTGAGGGAAAAGCACTGGCTCCAGCACCACAGTCACCATCATAGCATTTTCTGGGTTTCCCAGCCAAGTAAAAGACAGTCTTACCCCTGTTTAGCTTGTCAGACCGGATGAAATCACAGCCTTGCAGCAGAGAACTTGTGTGTGGGAAAGCACAATTTAAAGTATTTAACTGTACTAAATACATAATTAGGAGGCAATGATAGATGTTGTCTTACGATTGGGGAAAACCTATTTATTGCAGCTGTGAGTGGTGTTTTTCAAGATATGTTGTGCACATCTACACCCTACCTCTCAGTATGTGGTTACTCAGTGTGTCTGGGGTCAGGAACATCTGCTACATTTTTTGGGATGGTGCATGTGTCATATCTACCCTTCTGCACCTGAGAGAAAGCAGGACAAAGGATCACAGATGACTCCGGAGGCACTGGCTTCTCCTCACACGAACTGAGCCCTGGACTGGGGCATCTGAGGGGAGCAGGAAGTGGGTCCTAAACACGTGCAGCACATCCAAAACACCACCCAGTTACAAGGTCTCTTTCTTCCCATGGAAGCAAGGAGTCTTCCAGGGTTAATATGGTCCCCAGATGGAGATGATGCTCTGTGATGTATGCAAATTTTTTCTCTCATTTTGTTTGAGTATGAACCTGCTGGAATTGTTCCTCTCAAAGGGATTCAGCCTGTCAGCATCCAGACTATGAAATGAGACCAACGGATGCTGGATCCAATCCTGATGTGGGTCCAGGACAGTTCCTGCACACCAGTTGACACATAATTGGTGTTTCTGTACATGCAGTGAACCTGCAGCAAACATGACAGCACTTGAGATAGCCCTCTTCCATCAAAGCCTTGGCAGCCTCAAGCAATTTCACTCTTGGCTGCAGGACAAGAGCAGAAACATGGATAGGTACCACCTACCAGATGTCACAAAATTTGCTACCTTACTGTAATTTCTTGCTTTACCAAAGTGCTAATGGCTTGGATGAGTGGCAATGCCACAGACTGAACTGTCCGGGACTACAGGACTTTGTCCTCAAAAAGCAGCAGGCCCTTGTGTCCCAGCTTGGAAGCACAGGATTTTCACCAAGGGATTCTCTTTGGACTTCTGAATTCTCTTCTAATCACATTTGTAAATATTGCATTTTTCTTTCACATGTTCCTCTCCAAGGCAAATCTGGAACGTGTGCCCTTGGGGGCACAACAATCTCACAACAAAGACATTGTTCAAAGCCTAGAGATTTCTGGTTTATAATTAAAGTATCAGAGAAAATAACTCAGAGCTTCAGAAAAAAGTTATCAACAGACAGTTCCTCAGTTAAGCGAGTGCTGCTCTTTATCCCTACTCAGTCCAGCCAAGCACCTAAACTGTTTACATGAAACACTTGAGCGCTGACCTCAGTCCCAGGAACCACAGGAAGCTCCTGCCTGTGGGGTGGACACTGGGGTGGCACTAAAAAGGTCCGAAGCAGATTTGCTATTTTTTATGCCTGGCCAGGATGGGATAGGATCATGCATGTCCCCAGTGGAAGCGGGGTGGATGCGGTGTGCACGTGACAAAATGGGGAATATACGCATCCTCCAAGAAGAAGCCTGGACTATTTATTGCAGCAAATTTACTGCAAGCCCTAAAAGCTTTTGGGTCTGAGATAAATATGGCCTCATTGTTATTTGTACAATTTACTCTTTCACAGTCTCTTGCCAATACTTCACAGCAATCACAGGCCACATGAAGTAAATATTCATATGGTAATCGAGGCTGCACATGTTCCATGTATTAATCAGCACCTATAAACAGTTCGCAATACAGTCTGACCACAGGCAAACTAATATCCAAATTAACATCTAGTATAAAGCCTGCCAAGAATTAGACACAGCTGGACAAAGGGTACACAGTTTTGCTAAAAAAGGCAATGGTTAATGATGGACCAAATTCTCTCTTCAGCAGCTACTGCTAGCAGAAAAGCTTGGGAGGTCCATCGGGTACCAGAAGGGGAGGAAAAGGTACAATCTACATCCAAACTGCTAAGCCATGGCTGCTGCCACAGATTCAGGCTCCTGCTTTTTACTGCCTTGTGCCTTGTGTCACCTTTGACAACCTCACTCCGCTTCCTAGCGGTGCCCTGAATTACATGGAAGAAACCATACTGGAACATACATCTCGGAAGCAAAGAAAGAGGAAATCTGGCTGCTTGAAGGCATTCCCAAAGCTGCAAAGAAGTCTCAGAATAAAACCCGAGATATAATACCTAATAAACAGAATGAAATCTCCTGTCTTCTTTCCTCTAGTTTTCCAAAGGGAGTTTAGACTTTATAGGACCTAAATGATTGGGTTCACGGTTAAGTCTTTAGCTGGTAAGAAGGTTTAAGACGCCATTTTCTACAGGCACACACAATAACAAGGCAATTGCAGGACGGACTTATAAGAAAAGCAAAGATGTTTTCACATTTCCATCCATCCCTAGAGTACAAGTTCTGCTGAAGCCTGTTGATTACTCCCATGAGACCTTGCCACTGGACTCAGCAGGAGCTCCGCTCATAAATCCCGTGTGCAGATTTGCATGCGTATTCTTCACATATATTATGCAAGCTAAAATCTTAAAATATACAGTGATAAACAAGTGTGAATTTCCAGAGATAGCTACATTGTTTCAGAACGAGGAAGAAATAACCCAGAACCTTTGCCTAAACCACTAAACCCACTCAAATCTTTGGTGGTGTTTTCAAAAATGAAATGCTGCTTTCATCTCCTCCCAAATAATTTTTTGCAGTTGTTTGTCCAAACTGCTGGCCAATGTAGAAAAAAAAATTCCATTAGGCAACGTGAGGGAGTCCTGCTGGGTTTCTAGCCTGCATGGAAGCAGTAAGAGCTCCACAGGAAACATAACAAACCTGTAGGAGGGATTTTCTACCTATGGGCCTGAGCCTGAAATCACTGAAATCTCTCTATATTTTCAAAAGGGGGCATATTCCTTGTTTCTTGCTCCTTTGCTGTCTGTAAGGGAAGAGGCAGGGAAGGCTGATATGCTGCTGTAGGTCCCAGCACTCTGGGACCTCTAGCAATGGGCAACAGCAGGATCATTCAGACTCAGTAGCGATATGCAGATAAACCTCCTGGAAAACTCCTTGTGCATAAATGAAGGATTTGCAGGCGGATATTTCACGTGTGCCATGAACTAAAGTCTGCCAAAGATGATGACCTACTTTGTGCCAATGAAATGCACAGAATCAGCTAAGAGTGGAAAAATGCAGCCCCACAAACTAGGGGGCATAAAGATTGGAAAATACCTGTGGATGAAGTGCAAAGGGCCCCAAGCTCCTTCAAGGTGCTGAGAGCTTAAAAAGTGCTTCAGTTCCTGAGGGGACTGATGAATTTCTTTATCAGGAAGAAATGGAGGCATGCTGTCTTAGAGGAGCTGAACTTCCCACGCCAGCTGCAGCACAAGGGGTACCAACTCCATCCTCCTGGCTACCACAGACACAAAGAAAGTGAAATCTGCCTCTGCCAGTGAGAAAAATGTGATGCCTGCAATATTCTCTCCTCTGACCTTAATGCTATCAGGCAGCTGATTCAACAAAGCAGTCAGCAGACCGCCAGAAAGATCCTCTTCTCAGACGGCAACTGTGACCGCACTGACTGCTCCTTTCATCCTTTCAGCAAAACCCTTTTATTTTCCCTGCCAAGCACACGACCAAGCACCTTCATTCACTTCCAGGTCCTTTTCACCTCTTATCTGTTGGCTGTGGAGTGGCTGACTTCCACCTCTGTGAGACCAGCCCTCATTGCTGCCTTGTTTACAGGAAGAAAAGGGCTCATTTTGGAACTGAACGCGTTAACTAACTCCTCACCCTCCCTCAGCCTGCTCAGTAACACTCCTTTGCAGGGTGCATGCAAAGCCTAGAGGACACGTTTGCTAGAGAGATGCTGAGGCTGCTGCCTTTCAGACTGACCAGTACAGCCCTTTTTTGTTGCTGTTTTCCAAGCAGTCTCAACTTAGTCTGTTGTTCCTTGTCTAACATCCAGATAAGCTCTTTTGGAGCATGGATTTCCCTTTTCTTCCCAGTTTCTACAGTGGTCTGTACTAATGGCTCCAAGAACTATGATGACAAAAGCAGAAGTACCAACAAAGATCACAGATCTTTAAGGGCAAGATCTGACTACTGTGCTTTTCAAGGAAGAGCTAAAGATCTGGTGCAAGCACCAAAGCCTGGTACACCCCAACATTCATTCACAGCAGCTCACATGGCAATAAGGGAAGGTATCATTTACTCACCTTAAGCCTTACTTGTTCATAAATAATGATGGGTCTGTTGCTGAAGGTAATGGCATTGCAGAAGCTAGCCTGGCGCTTCACTGCCTTCTGTGTCGTGTCCATGATGATCTGGGATCCCTTCGTGTGGGGATGGAAAAGCAGAGGGCTGATGGACAGAGCTCCGCACTGTGGGATGGGGAGACAGTGCTTCTGCTTGTGGTGGCATCGGTGGGAGGAAGCCGAAAATGACCCGCCTATGGAATCTGAAAACAGAATGGCGAAAAAAGGGTTTAAAATCTGCTGTCAGTAATAAGTAAAAAAAAATTCCAATGCAAAAAAAAAAAAAAAAAAGAAGCAGGGGTACTTCAGAGGGGAACTGTAGATCAAAATAAAGGTTAGTCAAATCCCCACTCTAAATCACTACGGGTCTCTATAGCATCTTGAACAATTAAAGGCTACAAGGATACAGAAGGATCCTGTCTGGACAGTCTGATAGTACAGAGCATGACACGGAGAACACAGCTCAGCACTGAAATCACAGGCCATTTTGAGGCCACACATCAGAAGAGAAGGCAAGAATTGGTTCCAAAACTGGAGCAAAGCACGTATGAAGTTGCTGTATCAAAGCTGTCACGTTTAGGGAAAATCTTCCACTTCCAGAGGACTCCCATAAAACTTGACCATTTCTCTCACTCCTCTGCAACAGCAACTCCATCCATCCTTGCCTCCATGTGTCCTACCCAACCTCGCTAAGTGCCAGCTCAGACACATACATTGCTGATTTATACTCAAGCACCACTCAGCAATAACCCACCTAGATTCCTCCACCAACCACCATCCATTCGCCTCTCTTCTCCACTGATGGGAACCTCAGCTGAGATCCCACTTGTCATGGAGCCATTGATCAGCATGCTATGATTACAGGGAGGAAAGCGACGAGGGAGAAAGGCTATGAAGCAGGGAGCAGATTACATCTTTCTCTAACCAAGGCCCTACACAAAGAGTCAATGCACGATCAACACAGTCACGACAACAGCTTTGTTCATGAATGAATGGATACGTGACTTTCTTTTCAACAGGGAGCCTGCAGTAGTTCAAGCACAAAACAATCATTATACTGAACACAAGTCATCTGTTTCCTTTTCCTTGTGTGCACACACACTACATTATGCACATATGTTTGGGAGGAGACACTCATAGATTTGGAAACAGAGCATCAACAGAATAAAGGATTATTCTGTGATAGACTCAGGGATGCAACAAAAGCAAATATGACCTTAACAATGTGCCAGTTTGCGCTGTAAAGATGCATGACTAAACAGTATGGTTAAGAACTCTATTCCTCAAACACGCAAACTATAGAAACTAATCATATATATTGTTCACGCAAATTAATTGCTGACAGTTATGTCTTTATATAGCTACTATAAAATAATGCTTACACTTCTAATGTAACTCTTGGCTTTGTAATAAAAAGCCTGGACCCTATTCCTCCCAGTTTTACCTTGTAGCTACATGAAGTTGTAATGGCACATCATCAGGGCAAGCCGGAATAACTACCAACAGAACTTAAAATCCTGGTTTCTGATGAGAACATTTTAATTCAACTTTGGCATCAGCCACTCCAGCCTTCTCCTCTCATCTCCTTGCTGTTTTTTTCTCCCATTTTCAGCAACAGTGCTATCCCTTCAGAACAGAGCAGGAAGGCCAGACAAATAGGGCTGTTACCTTTAAACACTTTCATTAATACTTTAAGGGAGAGATGAACCAACTGGGAGTTATTTGATGCTAAAAATTATGTGGAATATAAGTCATCTTCCTTCTCCTGTTCCTCACATACGGAGGAGAAGAAACAAGGCACAGAGTACCAAGAAAAAGTAGAGGTTCACCTGAGCAGGCAGGTCAGAGGGGAAACCTTCAGGAGGAACAGACTGCATGGAAGGGGGAGCTTGACACAGGGAAGGTCAGGATGCAGGGGCTCACATGAGCCTGACCTCTTCCCTTTGGGCATGCTACTGACCCAGGGCAGTGCACCTTGCCTCTCCCCACAGCCCAGACTGGGTGGTCAGAAGACAAGACAAGCTGCAGCAGCCCCACAGAGAGAACCTTCTGAGGTTACCTGTTTAATTAGAGGCTGTCTTGTGCCCCAAAGAACAGGAGGTTAAATCCCTTCCAGTATCACTAGCTTTTTTCTAAACCAGATATGTTCTCTACCACCATCCCTCTGCAACTCTGTTAAGCCCTCAGCTTTAGTGATACCTTGCTGATGAGTTCCTGAGGCTTAATGGTATTTTGCAAAGAAATATTTCCTATATCACTGCCAACATGATGCTGTTCACCATCACAAATGGTTATGAGCCAGAGCCAGCAAAAGTGGCTGACTTAACCTTGCTCCACCCCACCTCCCCAGGTGGGTCAAGCTGGTCTGTAGGGACAAGACCGCTGACAGATGGTCAAAGCAAATCATCCCAGGCTCTCTTTTGGCAGAAATTTTTCAGGCTGCTGGATCTCCTCATTGCTTATCTCTTAGCTGCCTCTCTATTTCTGCTATACCCCTTTTTTGTAGGTAGACTAACTAAAAATAAACATCTAGTGTAAAAATTTCCATTCCTAAATTTTTCAGCTTCTCTAAAATACATATGTAAGTCACAGTCATTTCTGAAACAAGACACATATTGAGGGATACAATCAATTGTTTGACATAATTTAAAGTCAAGGGATCTGCAGAAAAATATGAAAAATTCTTTTTCTGGCTATTTCCAGTCTTGTTTTTTTCCAACACCTCTTTGATAGTTTCTAGGGGTGCATATAGGTGAAAGAGAAGAAGCTACGAGTGAATATACACTCGATTCATGCCATCTTTGCATCCAGATCTGAATTTTGTAGCTCAAACTTTTTGCTAGCAGTCACTCACCAAAACAAACTTGTGCAGCACAAAGGCACACACATTTTAACCTGTTTGCATATCTCAGTGCTCTAATTTTACCGGATAACTTGGCTATGATAATAGCTGTCACACCTTGCCATAGGACATTGCACCCTTTTGAAATGCAGTAATGGAGTCACCAAAACTGCCCACAGCTGTCAAAACAGGCTCTGATAACAACACCGCATACATCCAGAGCATCTGCTGGAGCAGCGTTACAGAGCCGTAGAGTCCTGCCTGACCCCAGGGGAAGGACGTTAGAGGAATGATTATTTGCTGTGACAGTCTGGCACCACTATGTGAGAATGGGTCAAACCCATGCCAGACCAACATCTGCAGGATGAGTGCCCCCCATGCAGACAGCTGAAATGCAGGGCAACCGTGCTCTATGGGAATGGAAGAAACCACCCCAGGGTCAGCTTCCACAGGTGGAAAATGCAAATGGGGAGGAGACCCCCTTCTTTCTCCCAAATGCTCTTACACAGCAATGAATCCTGCATGATGAACATGCTTGGGTAAGGACCAGAAAAGACCTTAATTTTTAAAAAGTGCAGCTATTTAATAATGCGGTTTTGCACCTTACAAATACTTGGAGAAGTTACAAAGCAATGGGTCAAATACAAAGCCCTTTGCTCCACTTTGCCTTTTGCTTCCACTCCAAAAGGAGGAGACACCATGCAATTTCAGATGGCAACACAAACACCTAAGACTGGTCTTAGACAAGGAAAGGGACGCTTTAGCAACACAAGCTGGTGAGATACATTGCTGTCCTTGCTTGACCAGCTGAAAATAAAATAAATCATCTGCTTAAAGTTTTTGTTCTCACTGGGCTGGACCTAGACTCCAGCCATCTCCCATCCCCTTGTTTAAACTACGACACATTTTGGCATCCTCAGCCTTTGCTACCAGCAATATTGGTACAATACAGCTGGGGCCTTTGCAATAGGTTTCACATTTTTTTTTCTTTATGTAAAAGAATTGAGTGAAACTCATAAACCCAGAGTTTCAGTTAACGAAACAAGCAAAAGTCCTCCTGATTTCACAGCAACCATGCAAAACTGCATTAACAGAGAATCTGTCCCAGACTCCTCCTCTCCCACAAGCTGACTTATCAGTCACCTACAAAGGTGAAGTGAAGTAATTGCTTGAAATAAAAATTGCAAACAAATAAGTATTTGAAAGAAGGCTGAAATCTTTGAGCGTGTTCAAGGGCACTGCAGGTTTCCCACTCCACAACATAACACAACTTCCCCCTGACAAGGAGTTGTAACAACATGCCAGGACTATGCAAACTGGTATCTTGTGACAAAAGTCACAAGCGCAAAATCATGCCTGTTTGAAAACAGCCTCTGTGTCAAAGGGCTGCAAATCTAAAGAAGCACCATGGACCC